TCTGCCCTCGGAGGTCATGCTCAAAAAAGAGCCCCTTGCGTGGGATGTAGGCCGGGTTCTTCCGATCCTCATCGTCGTCCAGGTGCTTGGGAACCTTCTTCCCAACTTTCTTCTCCACAGGCTCCGTGCTCTCCTGTCAGAACCAGGGAGCTCTCACCACTGCAGCAGTCCTGCTGCCAGCCCCCGGCCCGGAGCCGTGGGACACCCACCTGCCCGTCCCCGCTCTGCCGCTCGCCCGTCACGGCTCCCTTGGGATCCACCTTCTCATTCCCCTTCTCCCCTCTGGCCGCCGACTCGCAGGAATCGTTGCTGTCCTGCTTCAGCTCCACCTTGGAGCTTTCTTCCTCGCTGTAATCCTCTTCCTCTACCTGGGAGACACCCAATGACTCAAATGTGCTCCTTCAGCAACAGATCCGCCAGGAATTTCCCCAAATCTGGAGTCAAATCCAGCAATCGATTGCCCAGGAATTCCCTCAGTTCTGGAGTCAAATCCCTGCTCCAGGTGTTAGACATGACTCTTCCAAAGCAAGTTATTAGCTCCTAAAAGTCTTCCTATCCCCACATTTTTATAGAAAGAGCAAAGGTTAAACCCAACCTCTCCCAAGAGAAGGAAAATCTAACAGGCTTTCTGGAATGGAGCTGGGATCAGATTCTCCACAAAGATGCAGCATCCCACCATTCCAAAAAGGCTCCTGCAGACTGGGTAGACTGGTGATCTCAGGCCCTTCCTTCCACACTGAGGGCCAGGATCCAGCCAGGGCCACATTTCCAAATTCCCTGGAGTTCCTCAGCTGACTCACTCTGCTCAGGAGCATGACCTGGTTTCACCCCCAGGAGCCTCCGGAGGCTGGAGCTGAACTAAAAATAGCTCGGGGTGATTAACCAAACCCTGCTCCATTTTCCTCTTTCAACACAGCCTTTGCACATCGGCTGCTCCCAGTGTTTACGCCGGGGAAGCCCAGGCTGGGCATTATTTTTAGGTACAGGAACAGAGTCATCCTGGCACGGCAGTGATGCAACAACCCCATTGCCCCTGGGAGCTTCCACGTGGGATTCCAGGCTGGAAGAGCTCTGGGAGCTGCTCCATCACCTCTGCAGCCTGCAGTGTTCCTTCCTTGTTAACAGCATAGATTAATTCCCAAATAAACAGCTTGGATTTCCTCTGCTTGGTGGTTTGGATGTTCTCTAGCCACTGTTTCCCTCAACATTCCAAAAACAGAGACGGGTTTTCCTTAGAAAGCCTTCACCATAATCCTCAGAGACCAGAACTTCTCTAAACGCCCTGTAAATCTCAAACTTTAGAGCTCTAAACTAAAAATCCAGGGGAACTTGCAGCCCCCAGGCATGGGTGGATGGGATTCCCTCAGCACCCTCCAACTCCCAAAGTGCATCCCTCCTCTGGCTGCTCCCTCAGAACAGAGGGAAGCTCCCAACCACCACTTTGCTTTTTAATTCCAACTAATTAAAACCCAACAAGCATCCCACACTCCTCCCACGCCCTTCTTGGCCATGGCAAATCCAGTTCCTAGTGTGAGGAGCCAGGAGGGTTTTCCCTTGCACATACTGGCCCTACACCCTCCCCAGCAGCACAGCAACACTGATCCCATGCCAGGGGCTGGGACTGGGGGAGGCCATTTCCTCAGGAGACAGAGGGGTCAGTGGAAGAGATCCAAGGACACAAACCGGGTTTGTGCCGAAATTCCATGAGAATCAGTGGCTCAGCAGGACAGAGATCACCCTTACCTCCGAGTCCTCGGCGCTTTCATAGTCAGAGAGCACGGCTGTGGGGAGGGAAAGGAGGTGGGGTCAGGGCAGGGCTGGACATGGCTCCTCTGCCATGAGACCAAACCCCTCCCAAAGGGAATCTGGATGCCAGCACCACCCCTGATCAATGCCACAGCCAGCTCAGGAGGGAGCAGGGAAGAGTTTGGGACACTGTCCCTGTACCCCATGTTTGCCTGCTGTTACAAGTGAATATTTGGCATGGCTTGGATTGTTGGAAAAGCCGTTCTGTCTGGTTGCCCGGTTTTTACTTTTTTTGCTCACAAATAACCCTGCCCACGAGCCATCACTTACCATCTCCTTCGATGCCATCCTCACTTTCCTGCAGAGAGAGAAAAGAGAGGGGTGTTAGAGGGGAGGAGGGCAGCAGCCAGGTCCCAGTAACACGGATTCATGGATCCATAAAACCATAAAATAATGGAGTTGTTTAGACTGGAAAAGATCTTTAAGATCAAATCCAACCTTCAACCAGCACCAGCCCCACATCACCATTAAGCCACGTCCCCAAAAACCACATTCACACTTTTTGTACACTTCAGAGATAGGGATTCCACCACTCCATGGGCAGCCTGTGCCAGCGCCTGACCACCCCTTCCATGAAACGATTTTCCCTCAAAACATGTTCTCTTACTATCTACTATCCTAATATCTTTTCCTAACAGCTACTCTTTTGTTCTAATGTCCATTTTTCCTAATGCCCAGCATCCCATGATCCCAGACATGGTGACAGCAAGGTCTCGCCCTGACCCTATTGTTTCACTCTTGGAAGTTCAGCTCCAGTGACCAAGAAGAAACAAATTCCAGGCTTCTAGAGCCTTTCTCCAAGAACCTTCTAGAGCAGTTACAGTGAGGGAATATCAAGAGCAGAGCACAGCTGTCAGGGCTGGGGGTCTCCAGGGAACAGAGTGACAGTGACAGGGGAGCCAGGATCTCTCCCTTGCCATTTGAGAGCTGGGGAAAGGGCAAGAACAGGGAATAACAAAGAGAGGCTGAGCAGGACCCAGCTCAGGGCAGGGTTTGGATGAAGCAAACAGCTCAGAGCAGGAGAAGTGCTCAGTAAAATTGCTGCCCAGATAAACCGTGGCTACCCCATCCTTGGAAGTATCCAAGGATACTATCCAAGGTTAGACAGGGCTTGGACTAAACTAAGATAGTGCAAAGTGTCCCTGCCCATGGTAGCAGGTGGAACTTTAAGGTTTCTTTCAAAACAAACCATTCCACGATTCCAGCATAAAGACAGAGATCAACCCAACTATACAGGAAAAACAACCCCAGAGCACAAACAATCTGACCAAGGTGACAAGATAAACTCAAAACTACTACAGAAAAACACACAGGGAGTCAGGGGGAGCTAGAAATAACCAGCCCTGGAACCCAAAACAGGAAAGAGCTGGAAATAACCAGCATTAGAACCCAAATCAGAAGGGAATTGTCCCTGGATGTGAACTGCAAGAGCAGAACTGCACGGCGGGGGTAGACAGCAGCACCCACTCCCCACCTGCCCTTGTTGCAGGGACCCCAGGAGCAGGGACAGGATCTCAGACTGGGGAGATCCAGCCACAGGGCACAGGGAGCCAGATCAAAGCCCCTTGCCTGGTCCTGGGGGGCTGCAGCGCCCACTCCACCTGAAACTGCCCTTCTCCCACACACACTATGGGAAGGTTCAGCCCAATTCCCCAGACTCCATGTTGATGGTGCTCCATCAGCTCTCCACCCCCCACTTCGTCCCCAGTGTCCCCATGCCCCTCGGGTCCTAGTATCAGTCCCCCAAATTCCCCCACGCCCCGCCCGACACCAGAGCCCCCCACTCCTCCCCAAGGCCCTCCTTAGACACCAGAACCCCTCTGTCAGCCCCTTCCCTGTCCTGGGTCCTCAGTGTCCCAAGCCCCCGCCTTCCCCCCGGGGTCCCCAGACACCAGAACATCCCTCAGCCGCCTCCCTCCTTTCCCCAGGGTCCCCCAACCTCCCCACGATTCCCCCAGACACCAGAACACAGCCCCCAGACCCCTCCTTCCCCAGGGCCCTCAGTGTCCCCAGCCTCCCCGACTTCCCCCCGGCCACACTCAGACACCGGAGCCCCCTGTCCCCGAGGTCCCCCCAGTCCCTCCCGCCCGCCCCTCACTCACACACTCCGACTCGGCCGCGCTCTTCCCCCCCGCCCCACTGGCGCTCTCGGCCCCGCGGCCCCGCGGCCCAGCGCCGAGGGCCCCCGCGGCGCCGCGCGGCGGGCGGTGCGGCAGGCGGGGCGAGCCGGACCGGGAGCGGGATCCAGAGCCCGAGCGGGAGCGGGCGGAACGGGGGGAGCCGGGCGCGGAGCCGGCGCTGTCGGAGGCCGCCGAGCCCTCGCTGTCCTCGCTGTCCTGCGAGGCGCGCTGCCGCCGCCGGTCCGCCATCTTGGCCGCGGGGCACCACGGGAACGGCGCGCGCGGCGCCCCCCGCCGGTACCGCGCTGGTCCCGCCGCCGCCCGCCAGGGGGCGCGCGCCGCGGGCGCCGGTGACGTCACCGCTCCGCGGAAATGACGTCACATCAAGGGCGGGTAAATAGTGGGGGGGAAACACCAGCAGCCAGCGGCCTTTTCCTTGTTTATTGTAAAAAAAAACAAACAAAAAAAACCCCAACAACGAAAAGCAATAAAAAATAATAAAATAAAACCAGCGAGCGGGCGTGTCCGCGCGTGACCCCACCCCCGCCCGTAACGTGTTTATAACTTGGTGGTTTTAGAACTTTTTAGATTTTTTAACGATTTCCGGGGTTTTTAGGGTGGTTTTTTTTTTTAAAGTTTGTTTTTCTTAAAGTTTTTTTTTTTTTTTTTGTAAACGAGTTTTCCGGCGTTCAATAAGCTCGGGGTTAATTATAGAGAGGGGGGCGGTGGAGGATAAGACAGGGGGGCACAGGCTCAGTGTAGGGGGAGGAAAAAAAGAAAAAAAAAATGGGGAAAGGTGAGGAAAAAGGGGGAAGATAGGACGAAAAAAGAGAGATAGGGAGAAAAATCAGAGAAAAAACAGGAAAAAGGGGGACACGTGGAGCCCCCACCCATGGAGCCCCTCCCCACCCATCCAGCACCAAGAGGGTCCAGCAGCACCCAGGGGCTCGGACAGGCAATAATCACCCCCTCTCACAGCAAACCCCTCGCCCGCCTCAAAACATTTAAATTACATTTTAAAAAAACATTAAAACCCCCCAAATTGTGCGCACAGGGTTTCTATTTCACAAAAAAAAAAAATTTTGCTTTTTAACTCTCCCCTCTGCCCCCACTAACCCGCTCCAGAGAGGAAAACCTCCAAAGAGGGGGAAAACCTCCCAAAAGAGAATCCCATGTGCTTCCCAGTTCCCAGGCCCCAGCCAGCTCCAACACGACCCGCTGTTTCTTCTGCTTTCGAACTAAACACAACATGAAGGCAGCAGCAGGTGAGTCCTGGGGAATGTGGCACCCCCGGACACCGATCTGGTGCTGGTGATCCCCATGCTCCCACCGGGACATGGTGAGAGCCCCAGATCCCAAGGCCACAGGCTGCAGAGTGCAGGGGTGGCACACGGGGGACTTGAGGATAGGGCCACTGCCCCAGGGAGTGGAACTGCTGGCTGGTGGCACTGGGAAACCGGTGCCAGTGTGGGGGATGAGTCCGGGAAACGTTCCAAAACCCAAACGAACAAAACTGGGATCACAGAAGAACGAAACCATCCGTCAGCATGGAGCACACAGCAGCTGGTGGTGACCCGGTGATGGCAGAGCTTCTGGTGCCGTAGAGGTGTTCAGAGTCCTCGAGGACATCCGGAGCTCCTGGAGGTGTTTGGAGCTCCCAGCATCTCCCCTATTTCCGACAGGTCCGGTGCGGCGTCTGCTTCTTCTGCACCTCCAGCCGGCAGCGGCTGCGCTCATCCAGCCAGGGCAGCTCGAAGTTCCTGTAGGCACATCTGGTGTCACTGCAGCACCGTCCAGACCCAAAATGGCACCATCCAGACCCAAAATGGGCAGGGCACCTTCCCAGAAGTGACACCAGCACTCCCCAGCCCCATCCCCTTGGCCCCAGTACTCACTGTGGGGTCAGTTTGGGCAAGGGCCGGCCAAAGGCGACAACGGGCAGGTAAGGGGTGATGAGCAAACTTTCCACTGTGGAGAGACATCAGAGTGTGTCAGAACCCCCATCTGCAGCCCCATCCCCAACACCCCCTTCCCAAGCCTCACCATCATCTGGCTCAGGGAAAAATGAGGTAACTTCAGGTTCCGACTCCTGAATCCCTTTTCTTTTGTACATTCGGAGCTGCAGCCGCTGTAGGATTCTCTGTTCCCTGATCCGCTGGATGTCCCACCTGGAAAACAGGATGGCTGTGAAAATGAGGAGCCACAGGCAGTGCCACACTCCCCCAAGGTGATCACGGGGCTGTCCTAGCTCCAGTGATGTGAGAGCAACAGCAGCAGCATTCCGGGTGACCATCCCAGCTGCACCCCTCCCTACCCCCTGCTCCAGGTGACACCCCAGGACCCTCCACTGTGAGACAGACTCCAGATCCCCATTGCTCCCTTTGCTCCCACCTTTTCCTCCGTTTCTCATCCAGCTCCAGCTTTGCGTGCCGTTTGGAAAAGACGCTGTCATCCAGGTTCTGCAACGACACCAGACAGGGATCAGTGCATCATCCTGGGGCCAGATCCTCCATTTCAGCCCCCCAGCCACAGCTAGGGTTCATGCTGGATGAAGGGATGAGGTGCCACCAGCTCTGGGAGTGTGGGACAGCCTGGAAAGCCCCTGTGGCACCACCAGCTCCGATGGTTCACATACCTCCAGGAGGTCCGAGGGGTTGGGGTCTCTCAGGGGCTCCACGACATGGTCCCTCCAAGACGGAACTGCAGAGCAAGGAGGAGGGTGTTACCCTACAATGGAATCCCCACAGCCCCTGCTCCATCCCACCACCTCCCCGCTCCCTTCCTGCTCATCCTTCCCCTTGGAGCACAGCTTGAGATGCTCCAAACCCCCATCCTGAGCAGCCATAGGACAGCAGAGTTCATCTCCACTTCCTTGGCCAAGCACACAAGCAGGGATGCACCAGGCTCTGTCCGAGCCAGAGCACTGAGCCACCTGGCACGGCCCAGTTCCCATCACCAGCACCAACCTCTCTGGGCTCAAGGCAGGACAAGCACCAGATATGGGCACAGCAGGTGACCCTGGTGCTGTGTCACCATGGCATGAGCCAGAGACACGTTTCCCATCCACCCACAGGAAGTTGCTTCACTGCTTGCTCCGACAGACACCAGCCAGGAGCCCTGCCCAGAGCAGAGTGAGCCCGAAATGAGATTTGGGAGAGCCCAGAGCCGGCACCCACTGCGGTGGAAGAGCCAGCAGCATGGCACCTTTCCCAGCACCACGGGCAATCCCTCTGGGAATCTGGGAGCCCTTTCCTAGATTCAGAACGAGAGTGCCGAGCCCTGCTCCCAGGCCGGCTCAGCCCCAGCAGCTTCACCATCATTCTCTCCATCCTTACTTGCTACAGTCTCCTCCTTTTTGGGAGAAGGTTCCCGCAGCGGCGATGGGGGCGGCTGGTGCCAGCGGCACAAGTACATTTCTGTGGTGGAGAGATAGGGCAGGTCGTCGGCCTCGCTGACAAAGCTTTTCTCCTTGGGGTGGGTGCCGGGGCCCTTCGGTGGGGCTGACGCTCTGAGTGGGGTCTCCAGGAGCGACCGGGGTTTTTCCGGAGTCTCTTGGCTCCGCAGTTCTCGTTTACAAACAGTTTCAGCCAAGGAGCCGCTTGATTCCTCCTTCCCCGGGGAGTGCTTTGGAGTTTTACTCTTCACTTTGGAGAACTCTGACACTAGTTTTTTCACAGGAGTCTTCCTCTCTGTGCTCCCGAATGCTGGCTTCCTGCAGGAGGAAGAGGAGCTGAGCCAGGCACATGGATCCTCACCCTGCACCAGGGCCACTGTGAGGGGCTCCCGGAACCCCCAAACCAGGGTCAGACTTAAGCAGTTTACGGAGAGGCTTCCCCACCATTTTGGGACCCTGCACTCCCCACACAGGCTTTCCTGAGGTTCTCCTGGACACAGAGATGTGTTCCTGTGCAGGGTGGCCTCTCCAAACACCTCAAAGGCTGCTAGGCAATGCCAGCCCCACAAACAGAGAGTGAAGCCATAGGGAGTGCCCCCCTTCTCCCCACACAGCCCCCCATGCACCCTGTACCTTTTATGCCCCTTCCCATTCCTGCCATAGGGGAAGTGCTTGGGCTGCAGGGTCGGGGGAGGCTCCAGCAGGTCCTGGGGACACTCCAGAGGCAGCTTCTCACATGCCTCCGCCTCCGGCTTCTCATCCACCTCAAAGCCCTGGAAGATGCGGTGCTTCTCCCGCTCACTGTCCTTCTTCACCAGCTGCACCCGCCTTTCCATGCGCTCAATCCGCGCCAGGAGCTGCAAGGCAGGTGAGGGAGGGCTCACCTTGGCGTGGGGTCACCACCATGGGCACCCCAGGGCAGCTGCCACTGGATGTCCAATGGCACAAAATGGTCATTCATTGGCTGCTTCTCCTGCTCCAGCACTGCCTATACCTGTGTCCAGCTGCAAACCCCAATTTGAGGGGGGATTTCATCAAATCAAAGAATCCAGGAACGGTTTGGGTTGGAAGGCACCTTAAAGCGCATCCAGTCCCATCCCCTACCATAGGCAGGGACAACTTTCACTATCCCAGGTTGTTCCAAACCCTGTCCCACTCAGCCTTGAATACTTCTAAAGATAGGGCAGCAGAAACCAGAGAATTTGGGGGTCCCACCCCCTCTGTATCCTCCTCGAGGATGCAGGATGGAGAGGGAGGGTTGCAATTAGCTGTGGGTTTAAAGAGCAGCTGGTGACCCCTGCCCATGGTCACCTGCCCCCAGCCCTCCCCAGGCAGGGCCTGCACCGTTTAGAGGGGTTGCTCTGGACGGCAGAGTGTGGGGGGTCGCGGCACCCCCCGAGGGCGTGGCTGTGGGGAGTGACCCAGCCTTGGGGAGTGGAGCCGAGTGCACCCAGGGTGTGGTGCGTGTGGCGCTCCCATGTCCCCACCAGTGTCACCCCAGGAGGCTGTGCCCAGAGGCAGCCCCTGAAGTCCCATCACGGACTTGCTGCAGTGGCTCCTCCATGTTGGGGGACGCGGCATTGCCTGCGGTGACATCACGTGGGGTGTCCCCGTCCTTCCTGCCACAACCGGGGCCACCACTGCTAACACCGCCACTGCAGCTGGGCATGGCCACCGCCATTGATGGCACATGGCCACAGGGCCGTGGGGCTGGCAGGGGGGTGGCCCATGGATGTGGAGGGGAACACGCAGCATCTATGGGGTGACATAACACTCATGGGGGGGACAACGCAATGTGGGGGGGCCGTACAAGTCGGCTACCTATGGTGGGGGTACCCATGGCATCTCTGGGGTGACACAGACAGGACACACGTGGGGGGGGGAGCACCGTTCAGCAGTGGGGACCCCCCCTCTAAGGCTGACAGCTTCTCAGGGCTGTGAGAGCCCCCAGATCCTCGAGGTGGAGGCGCAGCCCCTCCTCGGCGGGCTGGCCCGAGCAGCGGGGCCATGTCCCTTGTGGCCGTGTCCCGCGGTGACGCGGCCCCTTTAAGGGCCCCCCCCGAGCCGTCGCCACGGTGACGGGCGGCGGCCCCGTTAACCCCCGCCCCGCCCCCGCCCTTTGTGCCCCCGCGGCTTTGTCTGGGGGGGGCTGCGACCCCCGGGGCAACCCGCGACCCCCGAGGGGGAACCCAGGCCTGGGGGAGGCAGAGATCCCCGGGGGGGGGGGGGGGGGGGTTTCACCCATAGAATTGCCTCTAACGAGTGTTTAACCCCTTGGGGAGGGGGGCATTAACCCCTGGAGGGTTATGTACCCCCCCGGGTACCTTGGGGAGGGGGCTAAATGCCCCCACTGAGGGCATTACTTCTCAAACAAGGGGGTATTAACCCCTGCAGCGCCACGGGGGGGGACAACAGTAACCCCCAAGGAGGGGGGAATTAACCCCTGGGATGCCAGCGGGGGTCGTTAACCCCAAAAGGAAAACACGTTAACCCCCAAGGGGCCTCTCCCACGAGGGGAGAACAGTAAATCCTAATGTGGGGCATTAACAGCCAAGAGGGGGGGATTAACCCCATGGGTGCCACGGGGGAGCAGATTAACTGCCATGAGGGACACATTAACTAACCCCCAAGGGGGTGCACTAAACCCTAAGGTGACACAGCAGTTGGACGTTAACCCCTATGGGGAGACATTAACCCCCCAAAAAGGGGGGCATTAACTCCAATGGGGTGCAGAATTAACCCCCAAAGAGGAGTGGATATTAACCCTCAAGGGGATAGAATTAACCCCCAAATAGAGGTGCAATCAGCCCCCAAAGGGGGGGAACCATTAACCCCAAAGAGGGGAGCAGAATTAACCCTCAAAGGTAGGACATTAACTCTCATGGGGTGCAGAATTAACACCCAACGAGGTGTTGGAATTAACCCCCGAAGAAGGGTGCACAATAACCCCCTAAAAAGAGGTGAAATCAAGCCCCAAAAAGAGGGGCATTACCCCAAAGAGGGGAGTATCAACCCCAAGAAGGGGGGTAAATTAACCATCGAGGGGATGGAAATAACCCCCAAAGAGAAGTGAAATCAACCCCCAAAGAGAGAGGTGTTAACCTCGAAATGGGGGGGGGGGAGCATTAATCCCTTGGGTGTCACGGGGAGTGTGAACTTTCCTGCTGCTGGGCAGAATTCTACCACAATCCCAGAGACCCTTGGGTGGTGTTGGGGAGCCATTAACCCTAGGGGGAGGGGGCACCACTTTACGGGAGGAGTGTTAATGCTAGGGGTGGTTAAATCTAGTGGGAATCACCCCATGGGGGGGTCACCCCATAGGAGGGTGTTAAACTTAGGGGTGGTTAACCCTAGGGTGGGGGTCACCCCACGGCGGGGAGGGTTAAATCTGAGGGAGGTTAAACCTAAGGGGGAGTTAACCCTGAGGGCGCGTTAACCCTGAGGGGGGTGGGGGGTCGTCCACAGAGGAGTGAGTTAAATCTGGGGGGGGGAGAGGGGGTTAAAGCCAAGGAGGGGTTAACCTTGGCGGGAGTTAACCCCTTCCATGCCGCATTCCCGCCCTCCTCCCCGCTCTCCCCGGTGCCTCCCCCCCCACTTCCCCCGCCATACCGTGTCGCGCTCGGCCCGGAGCTCCTCGATCTGCCGCTCCTTGGCCTGCAGCTGCTGCTGCTGCTGCTCGATCAGGTCCAGCTGGAGCAGCAGGATCTGCCGCAGGCAGGCGGCCTGCCCGGGCGACCCTCCGCCGGCGCCCATCGCTGCGCGGGCCGCGGGCCGCCGCTTCCCCGGCTCCGCGGGCCCCGCTCCCGGCCCCGGCCCCGCTCCCGGCCCCGCCGCCGCCGCCTCCCCGGGCACCGGCCGCTGCCGCCGC